ACAGCAATAAAAAATGAAGTACTGATACATGTTATAAAATGTTTGACTCCCAAAAATATTATAAGTAAAAGAAGCCAGTCATGAAACCACACATTGTGTGACTGTATTGATACGAAATGTTTCAGCATAGGCAAATCTATAGAAACAGGAAACAGATGTGTGGTTGCCTGGGGCCTGTGGTTGGGCGTTTGGGGTGGAGGAGCTACAATGAGGGCTGACTATGCAAATGTACGTGTTTTTTTGTGGAATGCTGAAAATATTCCAAAATCAAATTCTGGTAATAGCTGCACAAGTCTGTAAATTGTGTAAGTTAAATGAGTGAATGTTATGATATGTGAAATATATCTCAATAAAACTATAATTTTTAAAAAAAAAATTAAAAGTAAAGAAGCAAAAGAAATACTTACTTTCCAACTCATTTATAAGGCAGCTTTTCCCTGATACCAAACCAGAAAAAGATAATATCAAAAATTTTAAAATATAAAACAAAAGGATGAAAACTGTAACCCAACATGCTTCTTGAACTTAATACAGGGCATCTACAAAAAACTTACAGTTAACATTATAATTTATGGTAAAAGATAGAAGGCTTTCCCCTTGGAAGAATAAGAAGGCAAGGATGTCCAATATAAAGTTTCAGCTAGTACAAGAAGAAGAAGAAATAAAAGGCATAAAGGTTGAAAAGGGAGAAACAAAAAAGTCTATATTCACAGATGACATAACTGCCTACTCATAAAATCCCAAAGAATCTATAAGAAAACTTCTAGATTAAATAAGTTTAGCAAAATCTTCAGCTATAAGGTCAATATACAGAATTTAATCATATTTCTCTAGCAATCTATGATTGGAAACCCTGTAGAAATAAAATAAATCCTTAGGTATAAATAAAACAAAATACATATAGTATTTGTAAGCTCAAAACTATAAAAAGCAGATAAAACATATCTAAGAAGACCTGGAGAAATAAACTGTACACCAAACCCCCATGATATGCACTTTACCTATATAACAAACCTGTACATGTACCCCTGAGCCTAAAATAAACGTTTAAAAAAAAAGACAAAAAAATGGAGAGACATCCTATGTTTATTGATTGGAAGACTCAATACAGTAAAAAGATTAACTCTCCCCAAATTGATATACAGATTTAACATAATTCCAATCAAAATCACAGCAGGATTTGTTTAGATATAGTCAAGCTGATTCTAAAATCTGTATGAAAAAGAAGAGGAAGTAGAGTAGCTAAAACAATTTTGAAAAAAGAATAAAGTTGCAGGAAACATAATACCTAATTTAAACAATACTAATTTTAAAAGCTGCTATAAAACTACAATAATCAAAATAGTGTAGTATTGGTGAAAGGACAGACATATGGATTAACTGGAACAGAATAAAGAGTCCAGAAATAGATTCACACATATGGCTAATTGACTTTTCACAAAGGTACAAAAGCTATTCAATGGAGAAAGGACGATCTCTTCAACAAATGGTAATAATCGAATAACCATATGCAAAAAAGAACCTCACCCAAAACCTCATACCTTATACAAACAGTAATGTGTCATAAATCTAACTGTAAACATAAAACTATAAAACCTTTAGGAGAAAACAGGAAAATTTTTGTGGCCTGTGTTTAGCCAGAGTTCTTAAATATTACACACCAAAATCATAATTTTTAAAATTTGATAAAGTATATTTTATTAAAATGATAAACTTTTGCTCTGCCAATACACTGTTAAGAGAATGAAAAGACAAGCTACAGACTTGAAGAATGTATTTGTAAATCACATGTCCTACAACGAATTTTTATCAAAAATATAGAAAAAACTCTCAAAAATCAACCACATGTAAACAACCTAATTTTCTAAAATGACAATGTCTTTGGGATAAATTGAGTGAAAGGTACACAGGATCCCTCTGTATTATTTAACTGCATGTTAACTGACAATTATCTCGATGAAAATTTCATTTAAAAATAAAACAAGATACAAAAAAAAATAGCAAAAGAACAAACATTTCACCACAGAGAATATATGGATCACAAATAAGCACAAGAAAAAAATGCTCAACATCACTAACCATTAGGGGAATGAAAATTATAATAAAATAACCACATTATATCACTATATACCTATTTGGCTAAAAAAAGAATACTAGTTATCAAGCGCTGAAGAGCATGCAGAAAAACTGGAAGTCTCACAATTGCTGATGGAATGTAAAATGATACAGCTGCTTGAAAAAATGGTTTGTTAGTTTTTAAAATATGTTAAATACGCATACCATATGACGCAGCAATCTCATTTCTGGGTATTTTATCCAAGCGATCTGAAAACTTATGTTCACCCACAAAGCTGTATGTGACTATTTATGGGAGCTTTATTTGTAAAACCCCAAACTGGAAACAACCCAAATGTCCTCCGACAGGAGAATGGATAAACATACTGTGGTACATACATGGTAACACAAAATAAGCTGAGGAATCCCAAAGATAGTCTTGAGAGACATGTTTCTACCATGAGATCATATTTCTCTGGCCATGGTTATTTAGAAACAGGTGGACATCTGGCTGCAGAACAGCCCAAATACAGGCCAGGCAATGGGCTCCGACCCATTTTTTGGCATGAAAAAGATGAGCAGGGACAGTCAAATTTTCTGCCCCTGGAATCTGACAAAGGTGAGTTTAATAAAGACCTGAAAGTGAAAGAATGCTCTGGGATCACGAGAAACCAAAGTTATCTAAAAGCCAGTTTTGGGAAAGCACAAACTATGCATAAAAAGAAGCCATTAGGGAATGAAACAGAATAAAATAAAGTATGCTATTAGTGGTACTGCATCAGACTGAAGGTTCATGTACTTCTGCTATTAAATCCCGAGAGCTGCCTTCAATCTAGGTCTACCCTTTAGTTCTGTCTTTACGAGATCATCCAAGTAGACTTCCCGTTCTTGAGTTCTGTATTAGTTGTCTATTGTCATTGTAACTAATTACCACAAACTTAGTGGCTTCAAACAACACAAATTGATCTCACAGTTCTGTAGGCTACAAGTCCAACATGGGCCTCACTGGCCTAAAATCAAGATGTTGCCAGGGCTGTGTTCCTTCTGAAAGCTATAGGAGAGACCTGTTTCCTGGCCTTTCCAGCTTCCAGAAGTTGCCTGCATTCCTTGGCACTCTTCTTCCATCTTCAAAGCCAGCAATATTATACCTTTCTGACACTGTTTCCCTTTTCT